AATGCGCCTAATTTCTGCAGCCCTATAGGGAACATGGCGCAGCACCTGCGGGAAAAGGGAACAGGAGAAAAGTGGACAGAAGAGAAAAATGTCAGGTAAGCAGTGGCGCAGATGTCTTCAGCATGAACAGCAGTTCCGCAGCAAGGATAGGGGTGGCAAGGGTCCCGTTCTCAGCGGTATGCGGCGATTCCCGCCTCGTCCAGTTTACTGCCACAGGGATATATGCTCCACTGTACGTGTTTGACTACATCAACGCAACTAAAAGATCACCGTGCTAGTGAACCATAACCTTCTCAGATCTTTAGTTTATAATTCGTAGCTATGTCCATCAGGAACAAGAGATGGCTTGACCGCTTGCTCAGCAACAATTTTTGTTTATTGGCAGTTTTATCTCTTAGCTAATTTGCCAGATTGGATTTAATTTCATTTTAGTTTCATTTAAGTGTCCTGCCACCCGGTTCTTGGCACATCCCCCTCTGTGGGTGAGTGCCATCCATCTGAGGTCATCAGCATTAACTCTGCCAGGCTCCGAAGATGAGGACGAGATAGGGAGAGCAGGTGCTCGAGGACTGTGGCAGGAAGGTCATGTTTACGGTAGGCGCCGCGGTGACCCTCGAGGGTGACGTGGGCGCAATACGTGCCCACTTGTGCGCACTGCTGACAACATGTGCGTGTACGTCTGGCAATCTCTAGTGCCTGCTAGTCTAACTACTATTATGCGAGACCGTTTTCGGATTGAACTATTCAACCAACTGACCGAATGATCATCAGTGCACCATTTCCTCGCGTTTTTCTTGCCGAATTCATTTCGCGTCTTTCACCCGATGTGTAACCAGTGACGACATATCCAGCGGTAAGGACTTAACCAAATCGAGTCTCGCCTCCTGGGTAAGCCCATCGTCACAGTAAAGCTCAACTGCTTCTTTGGTGCGCTTATTAGGAGGCTGTTTTTTTGCACTAAGTGGCAGTGGCATTGCGGCATTCGCTCATCGTGATGCAAGCATACGTGCGTTAGCCTCCTGGAAAAGTTTTGAAAATTTTTTTTTCATCCTCTTGAGTTATGAAGTCAAAAACTCTTTAAATAGCGACATTCAATCGCTTACACGTTAGATTTTTGTAAACATTTGGCTGATCAATGTTTACGTTCACATTTCCCGCTGTTTGTAGGACAAGTGGATAAACGGATAAAGCCGTTCCCCTTTGATTGTGCTATGGCACACGCTATCTGATCGAAGCTAGCGTAACTAGCGCTATAGCAACCACGACCTACTGTTATACTACTGTACTCCTGACATGCCCAGCGAGCCCCTCTCCAGCGCCCATATCTAGGTTGTGCCTATCTCCGCTAGGGCCATAACCTACGACTGGCGCATGGTGCACGGCCGGGCTGCGAGTTTACCTCGCGGCTGGCACTGCCACTCCAGAGGTTCTATAAAACCTCCTTGGAGGTGATACGATAGTAAATTATAGTACACCGTAGTGATACTACTCGTTCATTTTGTTAAGGAGCGCGGGAAAGCCAGAAAAAAACACACACACTGCACGCTTGCTATCTCCAGGCTATAGGAGGGTTGCACAGGGGCGTGGCCCACGAGATGGCGCCAGCGTCGAAGAGGCAGCGCATCTATCTTTGTGGTCTCCCTCCCTGCCGCCGCGGGCAAGTGTTCAGAACCTATGCAACATCATAGAGGCTCGATTTTGTAGTGAAAAACTTGGGTTTTCGCGACGTGCGCTATGAAGCTTTGTTTACGCAGCAGGAGACGAGCGCGCGCACTACGACCGCGATCGCTGCTTATCAGCGGTATCATTCAGGTAGGTGCGACGTGTTACTGATTTATCTGTGTTAGTAAACAGTCAGCGACGCAGTTCGTTCTCGTTTAGCCATGCTTTAAAGAGCTGAGCACATTAACGTCGATCAGTTACAATCGAGACTGTATGTGATTTCTGGGTGCGCAACTGCCCAACGCGCGTGATTGGACCCTGCAGCAAAGAGCATTTTTAATCGCAAGCGGCTTGGGCTCAACCACGAACGAACTATGCCAATTGTATCACCTCACATGCTCTTGCAAATGATGGAGCCCTTCCACACAAAGAATTCGGGAAACGACACCACCGCGATGAAAACAAAAAATTTGTCCGAACACTGAGCAAGAGGAACCATTCTTGTTTCCGACGACGACGTGGCGGCCGTCTCTGAGGTCTCTAACTCGATGCTGTTGGACTCATCCGCTAGTGACATAGTTGTGGGCGTCCATCAATTTACAGGCTTTAAGCTCGTCCCTTGTTGCAAAGCTTGTGCCGCCAACGAGGTGGTCCTTGATGTCCGTGAGCTTGATGCGGGAATAACACTTCACATCCCACACAGCTTCATCGCTGCTGAAGTCGAACGGGTCGCTATCCGCCGCAAATGTGAACCTTATGTTCGTAGCGAAGTTTCGCCGGATCTCGGAAGTCACGCGCGTAAGCACTCAGTCGAATTTCAACACGTCGGTACCGTACGTAGCGGCACGCACACAACCTCTCACTGCCGCTCGCCGCTTCAAAAAGGGCGCGCTTAGACCACTGACATGGCGGTAGAGGCAAACGCCGCTAGCGCCTCAAGCGGAAGACACCACGACCTTTGAGATGACAACAAATGCAAGGTGCATAAAGTTTTATACAATAATATTGTATAAAAGTTTTATACAAAAATATTTTATAAGAGTTTCTTAGTATTGTATTGTATGAAACTTTATAGCACGGTGTGTTTGCGCTTGCCATCTCGAAGGCCACGAAAACCCCGCGAACCCGCCATCTGGGCGTGGTAACAACTAGCGTCATCTCCCGAGTGAAAACACTTCGCGCCGGGTAAAGCTGATTCACAAGGGAAAGGGAAAGGAAACAAGTGACATTGGGGCGTATCGCCCCATAACAATACTGAGTAGCATTCTGAAACTCTTCAATACAATCCTGAATCGCAGGCTACAAAACCACTGTGAAAAAACCTTAATCTTGTCAGAATCGCAAAATGGATTTCGCCCAAACAGACGGACAAGTGACCATATCTTTACCCTAACCCAGGCAATAGAAATGAAAAACAGAGACAAATCTCAACTATACCTGGCATACCTGGATCTACAACAAGCATATGACTCAGTGCCGCACTCACGACTGTGGGAGAAGCTAGAAAAAATTAATATTGAGGAAGACTTCATCAAATTACTAAAAGCACTATATGCAGAGTGTACGGCAGTGTATGAACTGGGCAAATATAAATCTAGACAGGTGCAACAAAATATTGGACTCAAACAAGGGTGCCCACTATCGCCAACATTATTCAATATTTACATTAACAGCCTACTAGAACAAGTAAATAGAGAAGGACCAGGGCTACGTCTTTCCACCGTAACAACTGAGCGCCAAGAAATCTACACTAAAATTTCATGCTTGGCATTTGCCGATGACATCGTATTATTGGCTGAATCCCCAGCGGACCTGCAACATCTCCTCGACATATGCTCTCGCGTAGCCCACGAAGATTGCCTCACATTCAACACTGACAAAACACAATGGATGGGCATAAACATTGATGACAAAGACATAACATTCACCATCCAAGGCAACACCATCAAGAAAACAGCAACATACAGATATTTAGGCATAACAATATCAGACCAAAAGAATTACCTTGACAAACACCAAGAATTACTCCTAAAACAATCCAACCGCCTAAAAGGTAGGGTGTGGCACCTGTCACGGCATTCCTACAACCCCTACAGGGTAGGCCGCACACTTTGGAAGACTCTTGCCGTGCCTGCAATAACCTACGCAGGTGACACATTGGCGTACTCTACCCAAACAGTGCGATGTTTGGACCGCCACCAAAATGAACTGGGGCGCTGGCTACTGGGAGGCAGCTTTGCAACAGCAAACGCAGCAGTAACAGGGGAGTTGGCCTGGTCAACTTTCGAAGCACGCGAAGCAAGGTCAAAAATACAATATGCGGGCCGGCTAAAGTTTCTACCAGAAACAAATTACAGCCAGCGCATATACCTACACCTCCGATACAGGGGCATAAAAACACAGTGGATGAAACGACTGGCTTCTCTGGAAAATAAATTCGGCCATAACACAAAACTGGAAGAAGCAAAATCGGAACGAGAATGGCGTATAATAACAAAAAACACTATAACCGAAGCCAGCACAGAGATGTGGCGCACGTCGGCGGCAAAGAAAAGGAGCCTACAGTTATACCTCGAATACAAGCAGGCTCCAGACCGTGAGCCATTTTACAGGGGCGACCGGGAAAGCGCCCTCCTGTTCCAAGCCAGGACGGGGTCACTGCCCACGCGGAAGCGGCATTGGGAACTGTTCGACACGGACCCGTCGTGCCGCCTATGCGGGGCCACGGAAGAAACCATCCAACATATCCTGATGGATTGCCCGCGACTCGGAGCGAGGGACCTACCCAAGATAAACCTGGCGGAATATCTGGGTCTCCCAGATGATCCCGTCGACACCCGAGTCGAACACACCGAGAGTGCCAAGCGACGTCTAAAACTCTGGGACAGACTGTGCTGGCAGGTGGACAAACACCCCGACAGTGTCCAGCGCAACGAAGGGCCGACAGAAAATATCTAAACGACGCCGACGCCACTGGATAGACTTGGCCGAGGGCACGTTTCCCCTGGTGGCGAAACTGGCAATTTACTACCAGACCTTTCTTTCTTCGAACAGTAAAGTGGAAAACGTGTGAGTGCGTGTTCGCGTGAAGTGCGTGTAAAACACAAAATGTTTTTTTTTTTTTTTTTTTTTTGACGGTGGCGCGGCAAGCGCCTGACTGGTGATGTGTGTGTGCGTGTGTATGGATGTGCGTTGAAGCGCACAACTTTGTCCTGTGGCGCTGCTGGCGCCTGCCCTGTGCCAAAAGGGATTAGGAGCACCTACTTACTTACTTACTTACTCGCGTGTGTGCGTGTGTGTTTTTGTTCGCATTTCCGCCGCGCGGGGTAATTCAAAGCGCCGTCGGCGTCACATTGGCATAGGTCATGGAGGAAGAAAAAAATCCTTCCTTCATGACATAAGTGCTGCACCGACGAACGCGATGCACCGACGAACGAGCTGACGAACTGTGACAGCGTGGCAATATGGTCCGGGACGGCAACAGGTATTCTCCACAGCTTCGTTTCGCGGCTGCCCTACTTTCGGTGCTGTGCTCGTTCTTGCATCCGCTGGACGTCGTACGGGCGGGGGTGCTTTTTTTCTTCTTCCCCCGCTCAAGGTGACTGGTGGAGTGCAGAGCGTGGCATGGCACCATGCATATGACGCTCCGTCCTTGGCTTCGGCTGTGACAGGTGTATTTACGTGTGGGAACCAACGTTACTATTTGGTGGAAACTTACAAGCGGCTGCGGTGGTTCGCTGTGAAGCATGAAATATGGCAGAATAGCGCCAAGTTGGGCTAGTCGGTTGACGTTAATTGCGTAATGGTGTAACTGTGCCAGTGCAGGTAACAGATAAAATGAAAAGCAGCTCGTGCGCATACTCGGTAACTCAACAAGTTGTGTGTCTGCGCACGAGCTGTCTATCAGTGTGTGCCGCCTTAACGCGGTTAAGTCATTTCAGGACGAAATGAATTGTGTCAGTCGATTCTGTGTTACCATAGCCATATTAGGGGTAATATATGCAAGCTGGACCGCTTGAAACGAGTTAAATTTTCAGTAGGTGTAAAGGCCTGAATGTACAAAACTGGTGCGAAACATTGCATGTGTGGCCTCACGAAACAGTGCTGGCTTCAAACGAAAAAATGGGTTTGTAATTAATGCCTAGAAGCATGGAAATACCCCCTCCCACAATATTTTTGTATTACTATGCACAAACGAGCCTAATTAAAAAGTAATTAGCCCTTGCTGCTCGAAAAAAAAAAAATCTGGCTTTGCCATTGTATTGCATCGCTACTTTTTGCTGGAAACTGCAAAACCAGGAATATTTTAAAAGCATGCCTTGCATCTCCTGCATGATAGTGCGAGATTGTGTCACAGGCAGAATTTTCAAGTGGTCGAACCCGACCCTGATCACCTCAATGGTCTGGCGCCAACAGTGTTAGGACAAAACTTGTGGTCGGAGATTTGTTTTACCCATAGGCGTTAGGAGAGAGGGACAAGTGTGTGTGTGTGGGGGGGTGGGGGGGGCCTTCCTAAGTTGTCGTTGAACCTGCAAAATATTTTGCTTTCCATGTTATCTTGTATTGCCTAGATTGTGCTGAAATGGAATCTCATGTCAGGGTAGCGTCGTAGAAGCTAAAGTATAGCAATGCCAAGCTTGGTCATGGGTTTAATCCAGGACATATACTAACATTGTCACCAATCAGATTAGTAGATGTAGGCAACGTTATTAAGTAACAACTTTTAAGGTTCATGCCCACTGATTGAATTGTTCAATCTCTGATGTATTACAGTAATGTCATCAGTAGTCAGCCACACAAGATTTAGGTAACGTTAAATAGCAACTTTCAAGGCCCATTCATGCCTACTTGTCAAATTGTGAAGTCCAGGATGTATTGTAATGACGTCATCTCCATTCAGGTACGTGGTATTGGATAATATTAAAGAGCAACTTTTGAGGTTCATGCCTAGGTTCGTGTGTCAAGGTTGATGCTCTTGTTGAACGTAAAGAAATCCAGACAATTTTAGTCAGTGCTAGCTTTTTGCTACCTTGCTCATTGGGCACGATTTTCAATGACTCAAAACTATTAGTGAAGCAAATGTTAGCTCAGGGGTGATAGTGGTCTCCTTCGAAGCATGACATTGCACTTCCTACACCTGATATGCAGTGGAATTGCAGGTCAAATGCAGATACTCATGTTCAGCCCATTTGGTGCACTTTAATTAACTGAAACTTGTCGAAATTGACCATAAGGCCTTCCCGTCGTTGTTTTAAAAAGTCTTTTATGCTATGCAGCATGCCTACCAAGTACCATCAGCTGAAGCTGCAAGTCTGGTGGATCCCTCCGGACGGCAGAGAAGCTCATGACGAGTTCCTCGATGCCTATAGAACATTCTTCAAAGAGCAGACTCCGCTGGTGGATGCCGATGCGACATTTTTCTTCAGTGAAGTGTACCGTAAAGCAGTCAAGTACCTTCACGAGGAGGCTATATATCAAATCGACTGCACTATCGAGTGGCCTGGGGTTGTCTGGTTTGGCCCGGCAACAAAGTATCTGCAGGTATGAGTTCATTGCCCCTTTTGTGACACAATAACACATCTACTTTATTTACGTCTCTGTCAGAATTTCTACGGTACACTTAAAACAGTATAGAAAGGTGGCCTAGTCGGTAGTTCGTATTCGTTCAGCGAACTGGGAGCGCTGGAACAGGCAACAGATAGAGAAGAGCCACACAGCACGAGTGAGCGATCGGGCTGCGTGGCTCTTCTGCGTCTCTTGTGCATGTTTTCGCGCCCCAGTTCGCTGAAAGAGCTTAAAACAGTACTACACTCAAATCTTGATGCAACGAACCCAGATATAACAAATATTTGGTTGTAACGAAGTAAATGAAGAAAAGTTCCAATAAATATAGTGTTAGGAGTAGACCTTTACAACAAATTTTTCGATATAGCAAACTTATTTTCATGTAAGATGCAACTTTGTTATAATGAGGTTTGAATGTATTAACATCTCGTGTACTTTCGTAGTCATGGCTTCGATTTCTGCCGTAGCTCATTTGGTAAGAGCATCGAGCGCATAATCCGTACGTTGCAGGTTTGATTCCCACCAGCAGTAAGTTGTCTTTTCAGCCACTTCACATCTGTTTCGCAATGGCAACATTACACTAGAGCTACGTGAATACCGAATTTCGGGTGCGAAGCAAATTCGAACGTTGAAGTGTGAATGCAAATAGAATTGAATATTTTTAAATATTTCTTTAATATTTCTAAAATCTTTTTTGGATAGTTTGATGCAAAATTGCAAGGAAAAAATTGAAAAGGATTCATAATTTGAATATTTTTCAAATCTTTTTCAAGTAGTTTGAATTGGAATTGCGAGGAAAAAAATTACAAAGCATGTCTAAGCACTTGCTTAGCATATATAGCAACATGAAAGTGTTTCTTTTCGCTAGGTTGATGAAGTGCTGGTGAGGTAGTATCCATAGTTGTCTTATCAAGAATGAGGCAACGCAGAGGCTGAATTGTATTTGTGTAGATGATTTGGTGCAACCAAAGTGTTACCAAGAACACTTTAGAACTGAAAGGCAGAGATGCTACTTCCTCATCCTCTCCTCCTTTTTCAACCTCAGTAAAAACTCAGCTGATGTGGCAGACGAAGAGTTGCTTCCTTCAAGTTAGAAGTTCCGAATCTGCCTCATCGACATACATGAACATTTGAATTCTTAGAGGCTGAAAATCTTTGGCATTCGATTTTTCAGACTTCCTGCCCAAATTTCAGGTTCAAAGCACAATTGAGCCCCCCCCCCTCACCTCTGCCATATCTATCATCCCCATGTTGGAAACGGCGTTTTCTTGAGTGAATACATTTGCGACTGTCACCAAGCCTAAAAGGCAGCTTTGCTGCTATGCGGTTCGGATGAGGTGAATCGTCTAAAAATCTGAAAGGGCTCCTTTCAATGGGACGGCTGTATTGGTCTTGGAAAAGTTCAACCGTAGCTCAGGCTAAAGGCAGTTTTGCCGCAATATGAGAATGTAATGAGGTGAAGCATATTAAAGGTTCGAAGGGTCAAGTTTTAGTCGGACAATGACTCCATTTGTCTTTGGGAAGTTTGAATAGTAAAAATTCCAGTTTGAATCCAATAACAAGCACTATTCATAAATCACTAGAAACTTCGAGTATTCACACACCCCTATCTAAAACAGTACAATAAACATGCCCTGTAATTTTCTTGGCTTTATTACATGCTGGTTTTCATTGACCTTGATCATGTGAGTGACTTGACAGTGTTCATATGATGTTGTTTCACAGCCGGTATTGACTAGTATTGTTTGTCGAAATTTGCCAGAGATGAAGGTACACTGCAAATGTGTTTGCATATATATTAGCCTCTATTCTTCAGTAGTTTCATTTGTACTGTGGCTCGGCCCTTAAAGGGGCCCTGCAACACTTCTTCAAGTGAGCCTGTGACATTGAGCACTTATCTCTCTTTTCGTTTTCTTTGAATGTGTAGCTTTTCTGTGTGATCGCACGCGCGTGCAAGGACAAGTCGCGGCCTCCCGTGGTGGGCCTGGTAACGACCGAGCGCGCCGTGCTCAAATCGGCCAATGGCTGATACAATGGCTGTGATGAGTAGTTTTTCTTTAGCTTGTTCCGTCATTTGTCAAAACAAGAGGAAGCAATCTTCAGCTGACTCTGAGAAATTATTGTGAATTCCAGGCCGCGTGCTGCGCTATAGTTTTAGGCTCACGTGTTCTCAGGAGCGTCGACTACTGATCGGCAGCATTGTCTGACCGTGCTCAAAAAGTGTTGCAGGGCCCCTTTAGGTGTGGTGACAAATGCAAAACCAACGTTGCAGCACAAAAGTACTTCTCATATGTACTACAAAATTCTTTGTAGGTACAGTACTGCTTCCAGGTAATTAGGTACAATAGGTGATACAATAATGCTTTTAGATAATCGGTGCTTGGTAGAAGAGTGTTTCTAGTTGTGCAAAGGTCTGCATCATATATTTCAATTCGGGGTGCACATTATAAAAAAAACTCGATATCCCAACATTAAAAGAGACCAAAAACAAGTTTTTGTGACCTGTTTCTTTTGCGCCACGGAATGCTTGCCAGGCGGAGTGTTTAGTCATGGAGTGGTAACGTGAAAAACTGAACGGAACATTTAGAACCAAGTTTTAATCTGTGGCGACTCTAAATTATATTCGCACAACAGATGCTGGAAATTATGGAAGCTAAGATGGATGTTTGTATTTTTGTGTAGTAATTTGCTGCACATGTGTGTACTCTGCACACATGAGCCGTAGCTCGACCTGTTCCTCTAGTTACCATGAAGGCAGCACCAGTTCAGAGTGTGTTCTGCCTTGTAAGAAGCTCAGAATGAAGCAAGGATGGATAATAGTATACAATAATTTTGAGCACTAACTGTGGTGTGCTCGAAAGTATCGGACTAACTAAAGCAATGTGAATGACTCTGTAATCCAGCTTCGAGGCTCCTCCGCTAAGCTACGCGACATGTGGGCTTTTTGCGACCATTAAACTGGATTTGAAGATATATATTCTACATGGATCGTGAAAAGAACGCCCGAATCTGCCGCTGTTATTCACGGTCTTTCCATTCCCACCAAGATTTAAATTCGCATTCTGGCCTGCTGTCCAGCCTTTCAAAACCCAAGAAATGTACCGGCCTTTTTTCTTTCCAGCTTGGTCATGCGTGGTGCAGTGCCAGTCGCGACAAGGCCCGCGAGAAGGCTCTTTTTCAGTGGCTGGTCCCCAGTCCCCTGGAGGCCTTTCAGCTGGCCTCGCACCCGTTTGACCGAGATGTGAAGCTGTCGTCAATCGCGTTTGGCACGCTGGTGCAGTTGGGCGTGTTCGTGCAGCACAAGCTGTTCTCCTCGTCCATCATCGACGACCACCGCGACTACTGGATCAACGCAACATTCCATCATGACCAGCGAGTGCTGCATGTCGATCTGCACCTGAACCACCGCGAGGCCTGTGCAGGGCTGATCGCCGAGTACCGGTTTATCGTCCCATATCTAAGCATCACAAAGGTGTGTACACACTCCCAGTGGCAATGCACTGCTATGCATTAGGCCGCGAATTACTCCGGCCTGCTTGTTTTATCTATATACGATGCTGAAATGCATGGTGAATTAGGTGGAGTAGGCTATAAATATGCATAATGCATACAAATGATGCAAGATATCAGAAACGAGGAAGTGAATTCGGAAAAAATTTTTTGCCAGCATCACTGTATCACTTTTCCATGTCGGCAAGTTATCTTGTGTTGTTCTCTTTAAACATGACATGTTGGCTTGGAAAGAAGTGCAGAATATTATAATTACTTTAAGTTTAAGAAGTGTGCTTGTTGCAACAGTATCTTATGTGACTGAAATATAAAGAATTAAGATACCCAAAACATTGCCCTAAGGGCACTTGCAAGGCACATGTAATGCATAATGCTACCATAAGACAGCTTGAAGCATTGCACAACAAAAGGATGCACAGATCACAATGCTGCATACGGCAAAGTACAGTAAAACCTTGTTAATTCAAAGTCACTGGGACTGTGAGGAACATATTAAGCGGGTTTTGTGAAGTAATTGAACATACAAAAAGTGCAATGCAAGGAACATAAATTTATTCAAATTACTCAGGGCTGGTCGTTTGTTGCGCCGGCTTGTTTGTGGCTCCAAGGGTTATGTTTTTCAGCATTACCTGGTCACAGTTTTGCTGCAAACAAGGGGGAATTCCGGGCATAACTGCTGTCAGAAAAACAAACAAAAAAAAGTGATCAACTAAAATGCGTGCAACACAGTAGTGACGCCCGGGCAGCATGTCGCTTGCTCCTAGCTGTGTCAGCATGCACGTCATAATGCGACCATTCTTTCTCGTAAAATGAGGAATTTAATAACGGACAGTGTGAAGAAATTTACGATGTTTTCGCTGGAAAACATTGTTGAAACTTTCCACCAGAGTTTTCGAAGTAGGCGTTGCAGGTAAGACCTCCGCCAGCTGTGCAAGTGCGCAAATTGTTGGAGCAACCGGCACTTCAAGGTTCGCATACATCGCGGATTTCTCCAGACTGTCCTGGATAAATGGATAAATCTTGACGCGCTGACATTGCGATCGTTGCGAGAAGCATGCGACATGCTGGCCGCACGTCACTGCTGTATTGCAGTGAAGCACGTTTTGTTTTCCACAGGCGCATATTCTAGCTGGTCACGAGACAGTAATTTTATTTTTTGTGCTGGAAGTAGCAAGGCAGGGGTGCTTCAGCTACCACCCATTAGCATTGCTTAAGTACATTGCCTGGTGGCTCTTGAAGGCCGCCATTTTATTGAATTTGTGGCGAAATCAGAATCGGGAATAAGCACACTGCACCCAAATTTTTCGAATTGACCGTACTTGTGCGGACCACCGCTTCATATTGTCCGCTCAAACTTGCATTGCAAAATATGAGACCGCCGAAATACTTAGAATTGAGTGGGATTTTGAAATAACCAAATTATAATCAACGACCAATTACCGAATGAAGTGTACTATTTGGTTCATGTTGGCTTTTGCGATGTGCTACCGTAAGAGCATTTCAAGTGCGCACCGTAAGTGCATCGCAAAAGCCTACCAAATCTGCCAAGTGTACAACAAATAAGCGTGCATGCTACCAGCATAAAAAGTAAGCTGCTGTCCAGGCAGGTCTTTGCACTCGGCAAGCACCATTACGTTGAGGCACGGCAGCTGTGAGTGTGACACAGGGTTGCACTCAACGCACCTTGGCGTCAAGGTGTGAACCGCAATGGGTGCTCTGGCAATTCTTTCAGTGACGGAGTCGAAGGCCTTTAAACGAGTCGATCCACTGGTCTTGTGCACTTAACTCATCACAGATATCTGCAAAAATGTAAAAACGAAAAGTTTCATGTCTACCATACATGACAAGCCACCACTTGGCTGCCTTGAATATCTGCTGGCCGCAAGTTGTTCTGGGAACGAGCTACACTCATAGACTACGCAATGATGCATTGTAAAATCGGGACCAAGAATTCAGATTTCTACTTACAAGTTCATTTCTCTAAAACACAAAACATAACGTTCATTGTTTAAGAGGCCCAATCGCAAGTATATTTAACAATGCCTTGTGAAGACATTGTCATCTCCAGACTATTGCCTTGTAATTGCTGAACACTTTCCTCTTTGCGAGGGCTAGTGCTTGTTACATAGACAAGCGTAACGGATATGCTTAATTGTGCTTAATTTCAGATGGGAATTTGACAAAGTAAAGTTCGTTTGGATGTCCCTACAATAGCTTTCCTAATAGCCCTTTTATGGCATTAATATTGAATTTATCATTAGAGTGGTGGTCGTGGCAGTTCTCATTGTTGTTAGGCATACATACATACATACATACATACATACATACATACATACATACATACATATATTAAAAATGACCGGAAAATAAAAAGAAGAGTGATGATTCTGTTTGGCATGGCTTAATAGGCTCTCCGAACCTGCTTTCGGAAATACACTCAAACCTCAATATAACAATCACACCGGCCATGAAAATACTTCATTATATCTGAAAATTCATTAAAAAATTATATCTGTGGCACTGTATCAATGACAGGGCCATTCTTCACTTACTTTGTTATAACCAATAATTCATTATATCTGGGTTTGTTATTTCGAGGTTTGAGTTATCCTGATGTTGGCACATCTCTTGTTAAGGGGAGATGCGTGTCTTAACACAAGTTTTTTTCAAAATTACATATTTTTCATTTTGATTTGCTTTTGTAAGTTTGGTTTTTCTAGTTTCACAACAAAAAAAACTGAAAATTGTAATGAAACTGAAAGTAGGTTAACCCTTTGCGGTCTAAAACTCTTACACACTTTCCGCCCCTACCTGTCCAAAACTATTTCACCAGTTTCTGGCATCAAAAAGAGTAACATGAACTGTGTAAGAAAAACTTACCTGATATTTTTCGCTTCTGCATTCAGGTGGCAACTCCTTTGGCGATATTTGAGCAGCGTATGATACCACTCACAGGATTCTCTGGGTACCGGCTGGGTTATTACTTGAGGTTTTGCAGAACGAGAATGTTTTCCCACTGCCATCGTCGTCGTCTCCGTCACTCATTTCTGTCGAATCATTGTCATCACTGTCTGTTGGAGGCACGTAATTCTTTCCCTCAATACATCGTCCTCGCTTTCGCAAAAAGCACCACCGTAAATTGCACGCAGTAAAAGCGTGACCATTCTTCTCGGCGAACCACGCTTGAGTGGGTACACTCTAGGCTCCCTGCTGAACATTGTGCTGCACCCTAGTGTAAAGACAAGCAAACCTCAACAAAGTAAGCTCCCTCATTCTTCAAGAGAAGGAGCTTCAAATAATCTGCCCAGACTTGCATTTTAAAATAAGGGACCGCGGAAATACTCCGAGTTAAGCAGGATTAAAAAGAAACAGTTCGAATTGAACAGGTTTAACTGTTACCGTAAAAGCTCGTTAACCCGGATCTCACGGGACCGATGAAAATGTCTGAGTTAACTGAATTCCGGATTGATTGAACCATCAAAACAAAAGAAAAACGTACTCTGCAGAGACAAACCTTTGCTTCATGAAAAGCTGCGTCAACTTAGTCGGCCTCGTCATTGGAATTAGTGCTAGAACGATAATATATTATTCAACTTCATGTGGTGGTGGTGGTGGGCACGCTCGCTGTCGGGAGAACTGATGCAGAACTCCAAGAAGACAGGACAGCAAGAGCTTTAGCGGCCTATTGCACGGTGTGATGTCGCGTCGGCTCATCTTGAATGTCATCATCAGAACAGTGATTACGATCCTCTTCACGCACTTCCGATAGTGTCATCATCAGTCGGCAAACCAGCAACAGCGACACTATCATCATTGCTCACAAACACAGCCCGAAAACGTAACGACGGTTTCTATGTCAAAGCGCCAACTCGCCCATCAGTCAACTCTTTTGATGTGCCCGAGCTGCAAACTCTATGTGTGAAGTCACCACGTAGTGCAAAGAAACCAGAAGCGTAGGCGTCGCGAGTAGCTGGGGTAGCGATGGCTGCGGAAACTGTCCCATACGGCGTAATGTGCAGTGCATTTCGCAGACACTGGATGCACCAGCGGCTTAAGCGCTCCTGCCAGGTGGTGACTAGCGCCGCCTGGCCACTTCCCCCCTCATTCACTATCTGCTGCTGTTCACATGGTTTCAGTTTCTCCAAAACTTCGGTTCCGCCGTCGGTTACGGCGACGGAGCCGGGACTTCATGCTTTCAGTAACCGGAATCAGTTACCGAAAACATGAAGCCCCGATAGCCTTCTCTGTAATAATCTGAGTTAACTGGTGCACGTCGAAATACCTCTGAATTATCGAGCATTTGACACCATTGAAATATACAATTTTGCCGGGACTGCGCGACATGTTTGAGTTAACGAGATTAGGATAAATGAGCTTTTACTGATTTGTATAAGCAGGTTGAAGTGGTCATCACCAAAGCTGCCGTCACCTGAGGCACTGGGCAGCAACCGTGCATCTCGCAGAACTCTGTGATGTAGCGACATTTAGTGAAATGTCGGGGAAAGCCATGTACATCTACTTCACAGTCAAGAATTTTTTTGGTTGGTCATTAGCGACACTTTTCTACTTGAGAATAGTGTGGTCCATTTTTCTCGATGACTGGTATGCCCTACAAGGTTGAGACATTGCCCACAGATGGTGAACCGAATTGATAAAGTGGCTTGCAAACACTCTTGAAGAAGCTACTGTGAAATCGCGAGCAAGTTCTATTGTACCGTGAAATCGTTCGCCTACGGTTAAAAAAATCTGACAGGGTTTGGAGGGCGGGCCCTTGCTCAGTTGCGAGTGAAAATTTTATATGGCGGGGGAGAACTGTCAAAAATAAAAGATGTGAACTTGTGCTTCGAGCGAGATAGTTTCTGTCGGGTGCGTAAAAACGGCAAATGTAAAGTTAAAATCATGATATGAAAGGAAATGGGGGGGGGGGATTTGCTCAGTCAAAGTCACTGGCGCATATTTCAAATCCCCCGAAAAAGATAGGAGGGCCCTTGCTTGGGTCCTGTAGTAATGCCATGTTTGGTGTGCCGCAGGTGTTGATTAACGAGAAGAATCGCCAGGTTGAGATCTACCTCCACCTGAAGACCCCGGCGATGCTTATGGGCGAAGTAATCATGGACACTGCTTCGCGGCCCGGCAGCGCAGCGGCTGCCACGCCACTGCGCTGGGAGCGCCACCTTGCCATTGGCTGCGACTGCATCGGCGATACCGTGCGCATGGCTTCGCTCTGTGGGGGTCTCTTCCTCAAGCTGGTCTTGACAGATCGCTCCCTCGCGAGGCGCGTGATTGGCCGGCTCTCACAGCGTTGCACCCAGGGTACCCTGTTCTGCTACGCCCCCGTCCGGACCTACTGTCCAGATATCGTGGTGGGCCGTTGGACCGTCCAGGTTTTGGTAGGGACGCTCTGCATTTCTTTTACAGGGGCTCTTCAACACTTGTTCAGCATGATGAGAAAGCGTGATAAGTAGTCGTGGCTCCAGAAAACAAAACTTGTAAGTCTGGAACGTATATCCTGGAATTTGAGATTCTCATAGTTGGCTGGATATTGTTTCCTCTTCTCTCTGAAATGGTGCTACAAACTCGGATGAGCTCGCCATAAACCTGAATACAATTGGCCGATATGAGAGTTGTGCGCTGCGTACGTACTGTGGCTGCACAGTAAAATTCAGGAGCGTGCCCAAAAATAAAAAATTTGGCAGAACCCATGTGCCTCGGGAATCGATAGTATGCGAAGAAGGGATAAAAGGTGACCGTTTTAACTTTTTAATGTGCAAAATATTATGAAGTTGCACTAAAGATATGCACAAGCGTACATACACACACGCACATTAAGCAACCATCTATGTTTTACGTCATTGGAGTACATGTGTAAATGTTTATAAAATTAACCCTCTCCACGTGTAGCTTTCAGCGCATTCTCTGGTGCAAAAGAAGAAAGCGCTTTGAAGGGTACGCCAAATTCCTGTAACTTCACTCATAGTTATGGATTCTAAAAAATTTTTGTGGCAGTTGATTCACGAAGCAACAAGCTCTGGTAGTGAAGCCATTCGACGTTTGCTTCGAAAAGTGTTGCAAAGCAACTTTATGGGGACTGCCTACCGCTCGGAAAAATTTTTTGATTGTGGCGCAAATGAAAAGATTATTCATCACATCGGTGGCAACGCGCATGCTTTCAGGCCAGAAACAAGGAAATACAATTTTTACTTGATGTTGAAAGTCAACAAAAAGTGACCACTAGCTTCATGTGGTCAATCTTGACAATCTATTGGTAGGACAAGAAATCCTCGCAAGTAAACTTATTTTGCTTAAAAGCAAACACGTTTAACTTGAAATTGTATTTTAAGCACTTGAGGCAGCTTTAAGTTACACCAGAGACCAAATTCACCTTTTTTTTTTCTGGCGTGCTCAAAGGGGCGCCCGGTGGCGCTGCCAGCAGTATGTTCGCTTGCCTTCATGCCTGCCTGCGAACGGTGAAGAAACACGACCACGGCGTCCGCCACCGCTCATGAAAGCAACAAAAAAGTGTGTGTGCCTAAAACGACCACTAAGATGTTTGTTTTTTTAATAACCAAACTTGAAGCCTGCAAAAACCACACAGTTTGTTTTCAACTTTCACACCAGCACCGACCAGTGTTGTGGGCATTCATCCCACTGATGGAAGGAGACATAACAGGGGCAGAAAAATTCTGTTTTAAAGATTTCTATGCACTTTCCAGAGAAACCGCTGCAAGGTTAGACACTTCACATGATACGCTTTTTATTGCAACACAAAACAGGCGAGCGACGAAAGACTGTAGACAGTGCCTTTAAAGAGGGTTACACTCGAACAATGAAATCCTTCAGCCAGGCTAGTACTGAACAAGCACGATCATGTTAACTGCTTTTCAAGTCTGTTCCTAAAGGGGCCCTGCAACACTTTTTGAGCATGGTCAGAAAATGCTGCCGATCGGTAGTGGAGGCTTCCGACAACGCGCAAGCCAAATATAGCCCAGCTCGCGGCCTGGAATTCACAATAAATTATCAGACTGCTCGAAATTCCTTTCTCTTTTCTCGACAAATCATGAAGGACGTGCAAAAATCACTCATAGCAAGCCCGTTTATCAGCCATTGGGTGATTTGAACATGACCCGCTCAATCGTTAGAGATCGCCGCGGGAGGCTGCGACTTGTCCATGCGTGCGTGTGCAATCACACTATAAAAGTCGCGCATTTGAAGAAAAAAAAAAGTGCTCAAAGTCATGATGCCCACGTGACGTCTTTCTTGGCCCCTGCCATCCCTCCCTGCTTAGCTTCCAGCGCTTTTGTCGGAGAATGTTGGAGAGAAGAGAGAATGCAATCGCAGCATGTGACAAAACTTTGTAACTCCACTTGCACTGGGCGGATTTTTGAAATTTTCGCGGCGTTGAATTCGTGAGGCAATAAGCTCTTCCAGTGAATTCATTCCATGGTTACTTGAAAAAGTGTTTCAGGGCTCCTTTAACATAAACCTCTTGCCTGGCGGCTTTAAAACAATGCTGGGCACCGTTTGAATATCAAATTCTAGCAGCCTGCTGAACACTGTCTTTTATTATTGCAGAGGATGTGACTCTAGTGTTGAAGCCAAAACAACTAATTTGCACTGTCCTGCAGTTATATGGGGTCACCCCACTTTCATCTTGAAAAAGGGCACACGGGACATTTGGCTAAACAGTTTGCTTTATCTGTTGACATGCCTCTATGGCGTAACTTGGGAGAACAACGTTGGTTGCTCTAGCCTCTTCAAACTTGCACTCGCCGCAACAGTTCATTTGATTTGTATGGTTCCAATGGCACTTAAGTGCTGCGTTCAAACCAAAAGCTATCTGCTCTCTTCGGCATTTTTTAAAGAATAGGGAAAAGGGAGTTTCTGGGAACGTACTGCTTTTCTGGGCATGCACTGCTTATTCAAGTTACAGATAGGGTTAATCAGTCATTTACAATTGGATGAGTGATAGCCTTCTTGACAGTTCGCTGCCCTGAAGTTGGAGCCGTGTGCCGTGATTTGCAACGCTATTTCATGATCTAAATTGCCACATAGAGTGCACTACTCTGGAAATAATGTGCCACGCTTGTAATCCCGCGTTGTGTGCCAATCTATAGAGGGAAAAGAGTGCACTCTGCTATATGCCTTAGGTGCCGATTTCTTGGCCCCAAGTATGGTGGAACTGCTCTAAAGCCTGTGCCTCCTCCTTCAATGTGCCGCCAACTTAAAAGTTCCGAAAAATTCCTTCCTCTCTTAGCTCGTCACACTGTAGCTGTTGGACTGTTCAACCTATTTTGGCGGCTAGTAACATTGAGCTAAAATAAACTTGCGTTTATTTATTTATGCCTCGCTGGACACAGTAACTCCTTCTCTGGAGGTATTTGTACATGGCTATTATAAAATAATTTTGTCAGTGATGTATGGGTAGTACTTTTTTTCTATCTGTGCCAGACATGACCCCGTCTTATCTGTGAGTCACAGCAGGGTTCACGAGCGGTGGGATTGTAGAGAAATCACAGCTGACAAGCACACAGGGAGTGAAGGTCGCCAAACCGCCCGCGCCAACCCACGTGTGGCGCTTTCTGCGATGCCCTCCTCTTTCTTTTTTTAGCCTACTTTCTGTTTTCCTCACTCTGTCTATTCATTCCTCGTTCCCCGATGAGTGTATCGGTTGAGGTGTCCACCTTAGAGACGGTTATCGGGCACTTCACACCCCTTTTTCTTACCTTTCTACATTTTTCTAAAAAATCTCATTCCCCTCCACCCCAACCCCCCAGAAAAAAAAAAAACGCCAACCACGTGCAGGCGATTTTCGAACTATGTCAGGATTTGCTGTCGCGAAGGGTCATCCGTCGCTATCAAGTCACAGGTTTCTGGAAAACCAAAAAAAATCTCTTGTCGTCCAGAGAAGTTGTGGCTTCTTGCTGTAATCTCCGTGACACCGACTGAACGTGCCATTTTCAAATCAGCCAATGGCTGATAGATGGGCTTGCTACAAGTGATTTTTGGGCATAATCCGCGATTTTTCCAGAGAAGAGAAAGCAATTTTTAGCTGACTTCGATAATTTATTGTGAATTCCATGCTGCGTGCTGCGCTCTAATATTTGGCTGGTGGGTTTTAGAGAGCCTCTACTACCAATCGGCTGCGTTTTCTGACCATGCTCAGAAAGTGTTGCAGGGCCCCTTTTAGTGTGCTTTTATTATATCTAGGCTTGAGTGTATTGCCGTACAACCGTTAAAATCGAAGGGGTGTAGCAATGCGTGTGGTGGATGTGGAACACTAGTTTTGAACAAAGTTGCGAGTTGGGCCTGTTGGAACAGATCGTTAATTAACGGTTGTACTGAGTGCTAACATGAGACACTGGATGAGAGAGCAAGCACGGCATCCCTGTTCTTTTTCATCCCACATGTCTTATTTATGCTCACTACCATAAGAACCATTTCCAAATTTCTTTTTTTGGGAATATCAATCGTATGGACACTCTATGCACATTATTTGCAATGCTGAGAAGTTCTTTATGCATACTTTGTATACAAGCCAAAAAAAAAAAAATAATTGGCGCCACTAGAGTAATCAAACAATTACGGTCCTCCACTCTGAACCTAACGGTCACGGCATTCCCAGATTGCGGTGGCCGCATTTCGATGAAGGCTGAATGCTGCAGGACCATGTACTTGGATTTAGGTGCACGTTAACCCATTTTGGTTTTTTAGTTCAATATTTTGCTTCTAAAAAGCATGTTTTCAATGAGGAAAAAAAGGTGCAGATTGAGTCAGTTAATCGCCATGTAGCCTATTAGTGTGGCTTTCATAGCCCGCGAATGGTCATCGACGAGGAACTGGTAAATATAATTCGTCCTCAAAGTCAACTCCAATATTCGCATAATTAGTAGCACATGAAAAGTTGTATCATGTCTAGTGGCCGGATTTTTAGGCAATAAAAAAGTGTGTTTTAGGTGCCAAACACCGTTTTAGGCCCTCAAAATCCAAATTACAGGTGCAATAAATTTCTACAAAAATTGAATTATTCCAAAACAATGACGTGGGTGACTTGTATCTACAACAAGATGCAAAAAAAAAATATTGTTTAAGATAACATGAAGGTACCAACGATAGAACATAGGCATGCATTTCCCGCGCAGTTCGCAGTATCTGGTCTGTTGTTTTATTGCTTAGCATTGTGCGTTAAGTGTCCACCATCCAAATAACACTCTCCTGGGTCTCTTTTGTTTCGTTGACTGGGAAGGGCAGTGCAGGAGAAAATAACCAGACCACTGGTACCCCAGAAAAGAGGGATGCTAGTTCTAATCGTGTAGGGCCAATTTCTACCCTATGGTGCACAGGGCACTCCGGATCATTCTTGTTAAGATTTGCAAAATTACATGTCGTGGAA